GGAGAGCAAGAAGGAAAAAAAGCTTCATTTTCCCTTTAGAGCTTCCGAAATGAAACTCCCCATTGAAGGGCAGGAGATATTCTGCATGGAGTTCTACATTGATCTAAAGCCACGTTGTGAAAACTCTGCCTCATTTTAGTACTCTATTAATGTACAGGCATCACTCCATCCTGAATGGAGAAAGGGGGAGGGTGGGAATTTGTCTTACATAAATCCCCAACGTGTCCTGTCTAATATTTATAGCCAGCACAGAATGACTTTTCTTTCCGAGCTGCAGAAATAAAACTGTCAGCTAGAAGATAGCCTTTCTATTTTATCAGTTTCCAGCTTGATTTCAAGCAGAGATAAAAGGCATAATATAATTTTTTCCATTGATCCCGAGATGCAGTCAAGGATCACAAGAAGCCAAGGAGGGATGCTCTCCAGCTGCGATGGAGCCCTTGCTCCAGCGCCAAGGAGAAGCAGTGGGCTGAAGATACCCTCCATTTCCCAGGTTTTTGGCCCAAATCAGGGGTACAGCCAGAATCCCACAAGCCTCACAGGCATCTCTGGCCTTCCTGGGTGGGAAACCTGGCTCCTTGCTACCCGAGGGAGGATCAGGGCTTGTGAGATGCATCATGTTTAGGGGAATTTGGGTGCAGCATGAACCTGGAGCCTCACCAAGAGCCCCTTTGTGTTGCTCAGGGGGAGTGATGGTGCATTTGTTGGCAAGTGTCTGGTTAATGATCCCGCATCCGTGCTCAGGATGCTCTAGCACACTGATCCTTGCTCCAGGCAACAGCATTCACTGCAAGGGCTTTTTGATGTAGGACCCTGTCTTTCATCTCTCCTATGAACAAAGCCATGTTTCTTCCCAATACACTGGAAATACTGGCTGAATAATCAGAGGGGAACCTCAGAGACTCAAAGTCTTTATGGGACCCTGAGGCTACCGGGGTAAATCCTGATTACTAGAGGAGATGTTTAACCTGAACACATCCGACCGCCTCCCCACAGCATCCTCCTGCCCACTGCTGGCCTCCTCAATCCTTAAATCTCATCTAATTAGGGAATTACTTAGGCAAACACTCAAACTCGCCTCGTAGAGACCAAAAAGAAGGCTACCGAAAGGCTCACGCAGGAGAAGCAGCGTTTTGACACATCCAGGTCTACAAATGGCATTCCAATATTAATTAATGCAAAGCAGTTAGAGCAAAGTTAATTTATGCAATTAAAAATTATTAGATTAAAAGCCATTTTTTTTAAGCCCCTGTCCTGTTGTGACTAATCCTGCGCTCTGCCATGTGATTTCAATGCTTCAGAATGAGGAGACTTTGCAAATCACCAGGCTTTATAGAAAGTAAAGGAGTAATTAGATACCAAAACCAATAATTATCTCGGTGAGAGACAGGGAAAGCAGGCAAGTGTAAACACGCTCCCGGGGGAACCGCAGCCCCACGAAAGGGATTGTTATGCACAAGCTAAGGCACAGAGCAGCCAAGCACAGCCCCATGTCAAACCTGTCGTGTTCCTGCACGCCCAAGACAGCCCAGCCCCTGATCTGTCTCGTTACCGTCTCTGTGATAAAGGTTAATCAAGCACAAAGCAGGAAGCAACACACGAGCTCTTGGGAGTTCATTTTCAGCTCCGTTCGTAACACCCCAGCCAGGCACAGGGCTGAAGGGGCTGTTTTCCTGTTGCTCAGCACAGGGCTGGAGCAGGGGGAGGCTTCTGTGAGCCCATGTTTGTGTCTCATTGCATACTGTGGAATGACAAGGGCAGGTTGGACACGGGCTTGGAGCAAGCTGCTCCAGTGGAAGGGGTCCCTGCCCGCGGCAGGGGTTGGAGCTGGAGGAGCTTTAAGGACCCTTCATCCCAAACCAGGCTGGGATTCCATGACAACACCCTTATAGAAGCTAATTGAAAGATTAAAGCCAACGTAAAGAGCCAGAGGAGCACAAACCCCCTCTGCAGCAGGGCTCAACCCCTGTGTGAATGCTGCTCAGGAGCAGTGAGCAATGCCCTTCCTCTGACCCATCCGATACATAGCAAAGGTGCCCAAGCCTGGATTTCCATCCCTGTATGCTCTGATCTGCGCTCACAGCTGGCGTGAAAGGAGCAGCGTTTTCCAGCGCAGATGCACTGCTGCTGAAATATCAGCTATCAGCAGGTACCTGAGTTGTCTTAATCCTACCTAAATCCCACAGCAACTGCGCCTACCCTTCTGCTAATCTCCCTGTCCTATCAAAGGGCGATTTCTCCTCAGTGCCAGCCAGTAGGTGAGAAGTGATGGGCGGCAGCTTCACACCCCGCTTCCAAGGTCCAGTGTCAAAAGGGTTTTAAAGAAATAAGCCATTTAAAGCAGGACAAAATTCGCACAGTTTAAACCCTAAACCCAGTAAGAAAGCACTGTTGGTAGAATCCAAGAGCTGTTAACTACCAAACACCAAACAACAGCATTGTGCACATCCCCAGGCAAACAGCGGCACTGGGAATCTGTGCGGGAGGAAAGGGCAGGGTGGAAGGGAGGTGCAGCAGCAGCTCCATTAGCAAAGGAACACGGGTGGGAAGCAGCAGGAGCTGTGGATTTCAGCAGAAACGGGGTCCTGTAGAACGAGACCACAAAGCCCTGGTGCCTGCCCAGCCTTGCCAATGGGCTCGGGTGAGGAGCAGCATCCCTGCCATGTGTGTCAGCATCCTTTGGACAAAGGTCGTACCTCACCCTTAGCCAGCAAATCACAGTGTGCACAAACAGCCCCAAATACTCTTGCACTATTATCCTTTGATAGCAAAGCTAATGCCTTCCCAGTAATGGCTTTCCGACATGGTGTGATGGCTTGAATATTCTGTTCCTTCCAGCAGCAATGCAGAGCCCTGTGATAACCATCACCAGCTGCCTACCAGCAATTGGATCTCCACATCCCTGAGACAAGGAAATTGGGACATTATTGTCTTGGCTGATGCAGAGGGCAGCCTGAGACTGCACCCCACCAAAGCAGCTCTCAGCCATGGAAGTGAAAGGCTTTGTGGACAGTGCCCCATAGAGATTCCTGCAAAGGCATCACTGCAGGAGTTCATATAAAGAGTTGTCTAGAAAGTAACACTTGTATAAATAAAAAAGTAGCATTTTTATAAACATTTGCCTAAAAAGTAACATTTTAATAAATATTTATCTAAAATAACATTTTATATTTGTCTGAAAAGTAACATTTTTATAAATATTTGTCTAAAAAGTAACATTTTTATAAATATTTATCTAAAAATAACATTTTATATTTGTCTGAAAAGTAACATTTTTATAAATATTTGTCTAAAAGTAACATTTTTATAAATATTTGTCTGAAAAAGTAACATTTTTATAAATATTTGTCTAAAAAGTAATGTTTTTATAAATATTTATCTAAAAATAACATTTTATATTTGTCTGAAAAGTAACATTTTTATAAACATTTGTCTGAAAAGTAACATTTTTATAAATATTTGTCTGAAAAGTAAAATTTTTAGAAATATTTGTCTAAAAAGTAACACTTGTAGAAATATTTGTCTAAAAAATAACATCTGCGTATATAATTGAATAGAAATTTGGTAAAAATATTTGCCTGAACCTAAAAGGCAGCCCCAGGGCAAGGAGCAGACCTCCTGCTGCCCCATCCATGCTGCACGCCAGGAGGAAGAGGAGGCTCCTGCCAGGCCCAGATAATGGCTTATTCCTCTTTGATCGGCCAAGCAGGGAGCTGTAGAAGGGAAAAAGCTGCTGCAGCAGAGAGTATTTAGAGGGAGGAGAGCTCAAAGAGCCGAGCACCCTGCACCAAATGGGCTCCCACCCCATGTTTTGCTTGTTTTTCCAAGCACTGAAGGGGTCCCTTCAAAATAACAGGTTTACATAAAGCCAAGGAAAAGGAGATGCATCCAGGCTGTTAAGGTTAGTGGGGCAGGCTCTGTTAAACGCAAGGAGCATCTCTGGACTCCGAGTTATGACCCACTATGATGGATTAAGAGAGCATGCCATCACAGGATCACAGACTGGTTTGGGTTGGAAGGGACCTTAAAGTTCCTTTAGTTCCAAGCCCTTGGTCACTGGGCATCAATACCAGTGTGTATCAGCCACGTCAATCAGATTTAACTTCAGATTCACAGTTTGCTGTAAAACACCATCAGCAATGGGCATGCAGGAGGTGGACACACATGAATGTGCCTGTGCCTTAAGGACCTGGACCACTGTGGAGACTCAGACTTAGCTGTGACCTTACCCTGGCACTGCACAGCATGAACCCTGTGTGCAGCCAATAGCACCCACTCTTCAGCTCCTGCTGCACCCCTGCACTGGCACTGCAGGATCACTGCAACGATGGCCGGACCCAGGAGCACTCAAGTAATCAGACTTTTTGTCTGTTTTGACCAACAGCTTTCACATTACTCATGCCTCTGCCTCAGTTTTGCTGCTGGCAGCTCGTCTCCCCCCACAACGTGCATGCACAGTATCTCTGGCTAGAACAACCCATCCCAAAGGGATGGCAGAGAGCATCCAGATCCTCACTGCAGGGCTCCTCCACCCATGAGCCCTGCTCCAGCCTTCCACTGCTTAACCTTGGAGAGAAACGGAGAGTGAAATCCAGCTCCGTTGCCAGCTCAGAGAGGATGGTGCTGAGCTATAGCGCTTGAAATAAAGTTTAGATTAAAGAAAGAGACCTGTTCAGGTGGAGAAGAAAGGAGGGAAAGAAACCAACAGAAAGACCGACGCCTGGGGTAACAGACGGACAGCATAGCAATGGAATTACACATGTGAGCTGAACGTGAGGTGCTTCTATCCCTGCAAGCCAGAGCAAGACAAAGCATCTGAGCGTTACCCTTTCACAGCCAGGGTTTGGCGCGTGCCAAATCTGAGGAGACACGGTGCTCTGAGCAGAGAAACGGGACCTCTGCGGGTGCGCACCCACCAGCATGAGTGGGAGATGCTGCGTAGGAGCAAACCGGCACGGAGGAGAGGACAGGAGAACCGCGCTTCCCGCGGGCACACTTACAGCCTTTGGCTTGAAGGGAGGCTGGATCTCCTTCCGCTCCAGTTTGTCCCAGTCGATGTAGCGGAAGAACGCGTGCTCCTTGATGTCCCGCTCCCCTTCAGGGCCGCATCCCAGGCGCTTGGCAGGGTGCTTGGTCATCAGCTTGGGGAGAGGAAGAAAAGGAACAGTCAGCGTGTCCAACTGCAGTGATGCTCCTGGCAGCCTGCACCATGCAGCCACTGCTCCAGGACACCCCTCACCAGGGCCTGCACCCCAAGACGGGCTCCCATCTCCTCTGCCTGAGGTTGCTGCTTGAAGCAGAGGACAGAGGGAGAAGCTGGAGCTCCAGGCACAGGGATGGCTGACATGGGCTTGTGAATCAGACTAAGCAGGTTCATGAGTGCTGGATGGGATGAGCACATCCCCTGCTCCTCTGGGAATGAAACTGGTTCACCACGAGATAACTCCCTGCAGTCACAGCAGCCTGCTGCTGGGGGAAAAAGCCCAACAGTCCATTAATGTTGTTTATCATCTAAACTTCTCCTCTCCACTGGCTCGATAAGAGAAGTGAAACGGGCCATGGGAATTAAGGGCAGCTGTGCAATATTAATATCCTGGGGGCATTGTCTGAGCTGTGTCCAGAGATCAGATGGAGATTCTAGCGAGTCACAAGACATCGATAAGCACAGAGAATATGAGCTGTACACTCGCTACAAGAGGGCTGCTTTATTAAAAGCAGGGCAGTTAAAACTGAGCCCAGAGCTGTGCAGAGGTTGACTCTGGATCCTGGGGCCCAACTTCTCTTGGATCTGGCCCCCAAGGGAAAGCGTTTTATAAGCGAGTGTTTTGTGATGAACAGACACATCAGCCCAAGCACTGGGCAGTCCATTGGGCCCCAAGGGTGAACAAACCCCAAACTGCCATCCATGGGTGCACAAACCAAACCTGCTCAGGGAAGCTCATCTTTAAAAGTAATGCTATGGCAGGGAGCTGAAACCAAGGAAAACTCTGCCAAAACCCCCCCAAAATAACACAAAAACATCCTTTAAAGAAAAAAACCTCAACAAATGTGAAGCAAGAGCGGAGCTGCTCACCATGGCGCTAGCAAATAGCCCTGCATCCATGGCGAGACAACCTGCAGCTCCAAGACCGATGGAGCGAGGCTTCCCTGAGCCAGCAGCACTCCCTGGGAATCCCATCTGCACACAGCAAGGGCTCAGTAGGCTTCCCAAGCTGGACAAGTGATTTTCCAGATGGCAAGACCTGCCTCTCCGCAGGGCAGGGATGTGACTGGCATCAGCATCAGCCTGCAGAGCCCATCCTGTGCAAGGAGCCACGCTGGAGCCGTGCTCATGGACTGCAGGTGAGGGCAGGGGGGCAGCTGGCAGCAAAAAAGCAGAGCGAGGTGTTTTTCTAACCCATTTTGTGTTTTTGGGGTAAATAATACAGTTTCTGTTGGTAGAGCAGCAGGCAGCCCTGCATAAAGTAAACCATCAACAAATCCCAGTGTAAGAAGCCTGGTAAGGTGGAAGATGCTCTGTGTCCTGGTCTCCTGAAAGAGCAGCAGGTACAAGCAGGATGGGCTGGATCTGGCCACTGTCCCCTGCCAGGAGAGGGGAGTGGTGCCACCAGCAGGCAGGGAGCCCAGCACTGCCAAGGCAGCACAGCTTTCACCTCACCTTGCACAGGGGCAGGTATCTGCCTGCTGCTGGCCCCACTGAACCTCACTGTCCCTCGGCTCTCACTACATCCCCTTCATGCTGACTTAGGTTCAGCTAAGCAAGAGCATCTTTGTGTCTTCTCAGTGAGCTCTAAACAGCATCCTGACCATTCAATCAGGTCCCCCTTGTGGGTAAGAAAGCATCCTATCACTCAATAAGGTTTTCCTAGGTTGAATGATGCTTGAAGAAACCTGGTCTAGTGGAAGATGTGCCTCCCATGGCAGGGAGTTGGAACTGGATGAGCTTTAAGGTCTCTTCCAACACAAATCGGTCTGGGACTCTAGGATAAACCAATTTTTTGACAACAATGTGAAAGTCTGGGACATGCTAATAAGCTGATATAGTGATGTGGGTGTCACATCAAACAGGATCATACAATCATTTACTTTGGAAAGGACCTTTAAGATCATTGAGTTCAGCCATTAACCCAGCACTGTCAAGGCTACCCCTAACCCGTGTCCCCAAGCACTTCCAGAGATGGTGACTCCAGCATTGCCCTGGGCAGCCTGTTCCAGTGCTTGACAGCCCTCTCATTGAAGATGTTTTTCCTAATGTCCCATCCAAATAGCTTTGTTTGCAGCAAACATGTAAAGAAAACCATCTGTGAGTCTTTGCTGTGAAGTGCTGCTCCTGAACACACCAACACCTCTAGCTTCACCTGCCACATCACAGTATTCCTACAGATGCCTCCAGAAATTATGTTTTCTTGTTTTCCTATTGTGCTTTTATGCATGTGAGCATGAAGGTACCATCTGTTATTGATTATATAGGACCCCATAAACATGCAGATTGATTCTCCTGGCTTACGTAGGATCATCATTTAGCTTTGTTTGTATTAGACAGGAACAGGTTGATTTAATCCCCATACTAACACAGTGAAAACCCTTCAGGCTTCTGCAGATAAGGATGCTTCAGATCAAATCACATCTGATGTTTGCAGCTCAGATACAGGAAATGTCCAAGTCTGGATTCAAATGCTTTGCTAAACCCCAGCTTTAGCTGGGGTTCTTCCTATCTGGAAGGCACATGGATGCTGCTTGCTCACTGAACAGCACCAAGAGGAACAAAGGTGACGCAGGTGATCTTTAGCCGTGTTTGTGAGACCACACAGCTCATGGACAGCAGCTCCACTGGGACCTTCCCATCAGGACACCACCAGTCCCTTCACCTGGGCATGCTTCTGTGGCATGCTACCACAAGAGTACTGCCTGATCCCATCTCAGCTTCAGCCAGGAGTGGATCCCAATGCTCCCACCTTCAGCTGTCCTTCTCCTACCCACAGCCACTGAGACACAGGCACATGTGAGAGATGCACTGCTGGAAATACCACTCAAAATACGTGGGATCTTCACTGCACAAAACCTGCCATTGAATGCCTTTGGTAACAGGCATAGGTTAAAAATGGAGCTCCTATTCGCAGACAACCTGCTCACCTGGAATGGGCTGCTTTGCTCAGGCAGTCAAACCCCTCTGCACAGGAGATGGAAAAGAGCTGATGGCTTGTGCCAGTGCCCTGGAATGGGAGCCTGGCTCCTGACAAGCCAAGCAGAGCTCAAGAGAGCAGCTCTGAGCTACCTGCACCACGAAACAGCAGCTCCAACATCAGCCTTCAGACACAGCCTGAGCTGACAGCAGAGGAGGGAGATGCTCCCTTTGATCTGGTAATTGCTGCTGACTGTGAGTCAAGGAGCTGCGTCCTGGTTAACTCTCCCTTTGCTTTCCAGCCAACGATCTCTGATGAGTGCTTGTTTCTTGGCTCCGGCAACACAAGGCTTTCAGAATCAAACGGTTCCCATCTCTGCGCCGTGCAGCAGTAAGCGATGACTGGCACTGGTGCATGGAGCAAAACCATGTGGGAACACCACCATTGTTTCAGAGAGCAGTGAAATACCAAACCCTTCATGTGCAGGAGTCGAGGCTCCTCCAACTGACTGTCCTCTGGACTGGCACTGGGCTGGGTTTGTGCCCTCTTGCAAGACCCACCACATACAGCACAGGCAGCCTTAGAGCCTCTGCCGTTCATTGAGACCTATTTCACTGTATTCCAGGGGAGCACAACCCGTTGGTTTCCATCTTACTGACAGCTCTCAAACACTGCACTCCTTTCTAACGGAACTTCCCGGTGCAGCAGCTTGGTGGTGACAAGGAATGTCACGAGTTTGGTGCACTTCCTGAGAGAACAGTTGTACAGAGGGAACTGCCACTTCCCTGCAAAAACCCACAGGAATTCATAAGAGCCGAGCCCTCCCTGCACGGCTGAGCAGCCTCCCAGTTCCCAAAGTGAGAAAAGCCACTGCAGCTACACCCAGCAGATGTTTCAGTCATGGGCTCTTCTCGTCTATTTACAGCATCCCCATCCTGACTGATGCAACAGCAATGAAGCTGACAGTGAGACTCAACCCTGCTCCAGCCTCCGCTCCCTCAGGCGCCATGGGTATAACGGTGTTCACAGCATCACCAAAAGCATCCCTGCTCCATCCTGCCTGGCTACTGGACTTTCCCCTTATGTCCTGGCCGACAACATGAATGATGATGCCAAAAGCCTGTGGAAATTCCCCTTTGATCACCAGTGTTTCTGTATCAAGGACTTGATTTTCCTATGTTTCGAAGGATGCCTGGACAGCATCCCCCTCTCTGTGCCCACGGGATCACCTGCAGCAGCTTCTCCCACGGGACAAGTGAATACTCCTCTTTAACACCAGTGCTGAATCCTGGCAACACTGGGAAGAGGCTCTGAAATGCCGCAGTGGGAGCGTGAAGCGCGAGATGTGTCATTTGTAGATGGAAACGCTATTTTGGGGCACAGAATGCTCAGATGTTTTAAATATTAACTGTTAAAAGCAAACATTTCTTAAATTCCTACACAAACACGTATTTATAGCACTGTTTGACACTGCCTGGCTGAGATGAGGCTCGGTCCCAAGCAATAACCACATGCACAATAACATCAGGACCTAGCCAGCCTTTATTCATTGCAACCCAAATCAGTGCAGACTGCATCTAAGTCTTGCCTAGGGCCAGCCCATAGAGAGCTCAGGACATTGGGCAATGCAGAGCTTCACTGCAAATTGAGAGCTCTGATAGTGGAAATACTGCCCTGACCCAGCAGTACTGGGGCAGTGAACTGGGTGGCTCAAGGGACAGCTCATCACAGCTATGTGGAAAGTGCTGCAGGATGAAGGGTTTGTATCTGATCTTAGGAAAACTGCTTAGAAATCAGTCATCTTCTCTGAGCATCATTTTTCCTTTCAAGTAAAGACTCATAAAGCTCCCCTGTTGGTACCTAACAGGAAGGAGGATTTCTGGGCAGATGCCCTTAACCCCCACATCCCAGCCAATGCTCCCGTTTCCTCCTGACCTTCACTTGAGCAAAACCAGGCCTCTGGTCCTACCTGAACTTCTGCTCAGTGTAATGGCATGGAACAGATCTAGGTGATGTTTTTACTTGGTTTCAGTACATACACACAAATTAACACAAGTTGTGCTGTAGGAGCACAGCACAGCACAGCAGAACACAGCTGGGGTTTGCCACATTCCCCTGGAGCAGCACAAGAAGAGCAAGGAGAAGCTGGGACCATGCTCATGGGACTGCACACTGCTGAAGGTGCATGGACATCTCTGCACCCACGCCTGCACCTCTCCCCCCAGCAGAACATGGACCAGCCCTTACCCCTTTGCAGATCGCCACAGCCTCCTTGGACATGGACTTGGGGTAGGCGACGTTGTGCTCCATGATGGACTGGAAGAGCTCGTCTTCATCTTCCCCCTCAAAGGGAGCCTAGAGCGAAGCAAACAGAGGTTCAGTGGTGTTTCTGGTCTCTGAGCTTCCATGTGCTGTGTGATCCCCAGCCACAAGGCCAGCTCTGGTTGCACTGCACAGTGCCTTGTGTCTCAGTGCTGCATCCACAGCTTCATCCCCAGCACCCAGGAGACACCCCCCAACCGTGTGCCAGCAACAGAACAAATCACAGCTCGCAATGGAACCTAACCCATCCCATAGGAATCAATTAAAATTCAATTACCTGGCCGGCTAACATCTCATAGAGCAGGACTCCAAATGCCCACCAATCCACAGACTTCCCATAGGGCTGATAAGCAATTATCTGAAACAACACAAACAGCAGGGTTACGCTCCCATTTTTAACCTGTTGGCACAACACAAACCCATTTCCAGCTGTAGTCCAGGTCAGAAGGACAAGGTTATTTACTGAGACGCCAATCCCTGACCAAGGGGGTGCTGCAATTATAAGCAGCATGTGGTAGGCAGAGGGTTCAGCAGCTTTAAAAACTCATCAGGTCTCAAGTGTGCATTAAATATTAGAAACACAAACAGAAGATTTGCTGTGATTTGAGACAGATTCATTCTGATTCAGGCGGAACTTCAGCATATTTGCTGTGCTTTCCAGCCTGGGCACAGCCAGGCCCATTGGAGCAGGAGCCATTCCCATTCGCCCTCATCCCCTTTGGAATTTTGCTTCCCCACTAAAATCAGTGCAGTTGGTTGGAAATCTCAGCACGGAGTTTATCCCTGTGTGGCCCTTTACAACAAACCTGCAGCGTACGGGCAGCCAAACCCCTCTGCATCCCAGGCTGCCAGTTTGCTTTCTGATATTGAGGAGCATCCCTCACAAATAACCTAACAACTGACAGCCCTACCCTCACCCCAGCAGCGTGGCTGTGCTGGAGCTGGGATCTAACTCAGAGGTTTTAGATTTAAAAATACCAGCGTTTATTTTGGGTAAGGCACCAAACCACAAATTGTATTTTCCATGATTCACCCTGCAAAACCTGAAATACCCCCGATTCCACCACTGTATGAACCAGCAGCAAAGCCACCTGGTGAACCTGCCGCTGCACAGTGGGTGCTTTCACCCATGTGTGTTGGTGCGTTGTAGGTACCACCTACAGCTGAACCCCATGGAGGGGTTAGTCCCTTGCTACCGAAGCTCACAGCAAGCCCACTTGTTTCCCTTAAGCACGGGGGTCCCACCACCCTCCATCCACATCTGGGGGGAGCAGTGACAGGTCCCACGTGGGGACCACACGAGGAGCCGGTATTCCATGGGTCTTCCAAGCTGTGATTTAGTTGCTGGGTGGCTGATGCTGGGCATCACTGCAGTGCTCAGGCTTTGACAGGCCCCGGGCTCTGCCATCTGTTACTTAATGCAAAACAATTACGTGATGTATTCATCCTAATTGCAGGGTTCTATTCCGCAAAGATTCCTGCACTCCAGCAAAAATGCAAATCATATGCTAATCATGGGAGAACGCACGAGTAATCCAGCTCCAGAGGACTGTCCCCAGGCAAGGCTCCAGACCTGCGGGCAAATCACAGAGTCATGGAATGGTTTGGGCTGGAAGGGACCTTAAAGCTCATCCAGCTCCAACCCCTGCCATGGGCAGGGACACCTTCCACTGGAGCAGCTTGCTCCAAGCCCCTGTGTCCAACCTGGCCTTGAGCACTGCCAGGGATGGGCCTTCACCCTCAAGAGTCTCACATTCAGTAACTCTCAAAACACCTCTGCAGCATCCAAAGGGATCCAGCCAGGGGGTACATCAGGGTGCAGGGCAAGTGCTGCCACCTCGCCTAAGAAGAGGTGAGTTCCACCTGGCTCCAACCTTTTGCCCTGGTCCTGGTCCAGCCATATGCCCAAACACAGTCATACAACCCCAACTGCCTTGACAGCTTCCTGTGGTCTGGCCAGACCCTTCCCGTAGAGATCACACGCTGACTTTCAAGCTCTGAACTTCCTTGACCGAGCACACTTGAAGCTCCTCCCACTTGCTCTTTAGATGATGTACGAGAGCTCTGGGAAATTGGGGTGCGAACTGTTCATGCCATAAAGGCCTTTATAAGAAAACAAGGCTTAGGGAGAAATCCTTGCAGGAAAGCATCTCTGCAAATTGAAGCCACTATGGTATGTTGGGGAAGGTCAGAACCCAACACGTTTTGTTCAGAGGGAACGACACGGATGAGGTACCTCCACTCAGTACCTGTGCCCTTGGCACATAGTGCTGTATCTTAGAATAGAAAAGCCCTAAAAATGGGTCAAGCAAACCACAGGACATGTTTACCCTGAAGATGGGTTGGCTTGAGAACACTGCAGCTTCCTAAGGGAGGAAGTATGGTCCAGCAGGAGGACCCTGGAGTGCTGCAGGCTTGGCTGCCCAGCTGGAGAGCACGGCAGAAGGGTATACCCCTGTTGCCAGCCACAAAACAAGGGAGGTGTAAATTCACTCCTTGAGACCCACTATAGCAGATTTAATACCATCCCTGTGCACTGCAGTGATTTGCAGCATTTCCCACTTTCTGTTTTCCTTTGGGCGGAGCAAAAACTTTGAGCAAGAAGAGGAGAATGAGTTGAAGTGAATGCTCGGGCAAATACCGAGAGAGCTGGTCATTTGTCCTGCTTTGAAAGAGCATTAATCACACAGCAACAGAGCTATGGACCAACAGAACACCAATATCAATCTTGGAAGGATGTGGGTATGTAACACACACTGGAATCAGTAATTAAACCCTGCTGTGGCTGCAGCAAGACAGCTCAGCACACAAGTGCCTCTAACTATGTCCCAGCAAAGAGAACCTCTTTCTGTAAAACATTTAAATGAATAAATATTAAATCTCATCACTGAAAATTCAGTGGAGGGAGAAGATTTGAGAGGGAACAGACATCTGGGAGCAGTTACCCACCTGAGTTTCACAAGCCTGACATTCAATGCACCCCATAGCGCTTCATGTGTCATGTGTGACTCCATCACATGAGTAATAACCAAATGTCAAGTCACTTTGAAGTGATCTAGAGCTGCAGACAAGAAGCCTCCCCTCACCAGACCCAGCCCTCCGCTGCGAGCAGCAAGCAGGAGAGATCTCAAGGTTTTCCCTTCACATGGAAATGTTATCCACTGATAATTCCATTTATTCCCACCGGCCTCATTGTGCTGGAAGCACTGTCACACATGGGCTGAGCTCCTGGGCTCATCTTCTCCAGGAGCAAGGAAGCGTGTGAGGAGCAGCCCTCGGTGGGTTTGAGTGTGCCAAGGACCAGACAGGCGTGGTGATGCCAGCAGCACAGACATGGGAAAGACACCCAGAGAGGGAAAACACTGCAGGGACACCGGCACACAGGATCTAATGTACTCGGAGACAGAAGCAGGGCAGGTAGCCAACAGAGAGGCAGATCAAGCATCACTGCTTCCTTACGTAGCCCTTGGGGACAGCCAGTGCAGAGGGGATGGACTTCCCAGGCTGATGGTGAATTAACTCATGTCCCTGTTCCAATCAGCTGCCCAAAGCAAGGTCATCCCATGGAAGAGCATCAGCCAGGCTGCTGGAACACACACACAGAAGAGCAGTGGCTGCCTCTGCAAACCCTACCTCAGGTGCAATGTAGTCTGGAGTGCCGCAGAAGGTCTTGGTGGTCACCCCGTCCCAGATGTTCTCCTTGCACATGCCGAAGTCTGCGATCTTTATGTGCCCCTCGCTATCCAGCATCACGTTGTCCAGCTTTAGGTCCCTACAAAGCAAAGCAGAGCAATGACACCAAAGACCATGCATGAAGCCACTCAGCAAGGACACAATTTGCTGGCTCCAGGAGCCCTCCCACAAGCGAGCTCTGGCTTAGTCTCACACCCAGGCTTTTTGCAGGGTAAGGCTGGGGGAAATGAGCACAAATAAGCCGGGGCTCTGTCAGGATGAAGTGTTTAGTTTACTTTTAACCCACAGGAACACCATGCTGGGCAAATCGCTTTTAAGTGTCTGAGGGGAGCGCTTTCATCTACCAGGGAGGCAGATTTAATAGAGCTATTTTTTTGCACCTATGGAAATCAAAGTGTACTTAACGCTCACCGGCGATGAAGCAGCACCTTCTCAGCAGACATCCTGCATCACCTGCGCTGTGCTCCCCCATGGAAACACCAATCACTGCGCTCCCCTCTGATCCTCAGCCACTGAATATCTGTTACTTGGACCCAACTAAGTGTGGGAGCTTTGCTCTTCAGCACAAACTGCAGAGGCAGTTACAGAGCTCCTGATCTTATCCCTGGCTCCCCAGAGAGGGGGCTCCAGCCTAAAGGACCGTTCCGTAGCCAGTGCTCAGTATTTCATGTGCAATGTGTACATTACCAGCCATGTAATCACCACACAGCTCTGAGATCTGGGACACTCCTGGCTTATGTTCTATGCAGTAAAGCGTTACTCAAAGGTCTCCAGTTCAATATTGGAGCATGGTGCAAGATTTCCCAGGCCTGAGTGCGACAGTGAGTTCCAAGGCAGGTGAGAAACCTGGAGAGGGGCTTGGGACAAGGGCCCAAGGGGAATGGCTTGAACCTGCCAGAGGGGAGACTGAGCTGAGCTCTTAGGCAGAAGCTCTTCCCTGTGAGGTGCTGAGGCGCTGGCACAGGGTGCCCAGAGAAGCTGTGGCTGCCCCATCCCTGGCAGTGCTCAAGGCCAGGTTGGACACAGGGGCTTGGAGCAAGCTGCTCCAGTGGAAGGGGTCCCTGCCCGTGGCAAGGGTTGGAGCTGGAGGAGCTTTAAGCTCCCTTCCAACCCAAACCATGCTGTGCTTTTATGGCCCCCTTGGGAACAGCCTGCTCAGCAATGCCATGGGGCTGCACAGTGAGCAAGGCCTATGTGAAGCAAGCACCCAGTAAAAGAAACAGTATAATTTACAACTTGCTGTTTTCTAACACTGTTTTACCCAATTATTGTGTCAGTTCTTAGAACCCTGACAGGCCAAAGGCAGACAGACACAGCCTGGATTTGGAGGAAGGAAGGAAGAAGTGGCACTGGGGACTGACAGACCTAGAATCTCTCTGTAGTGGCTGATGGCAAAAAACATTGCTCACATCAGGTTTGCTCCACTTCTTTCATCTTCAGAACAGTCTTGAGCATCTCCTAACTTCACAGCTGGCATCGCTCTTTTGCAAAGCACTTAATGGTATCTGACACTCATTAGGATGCTCTGCTCTACCTCCCGCTTTGGGAATACTCTGGAGCAGGGATGAGGAGCAGTACACTAGTTTCAGTGCTTAACCAGAGCCTGGTCCAGCATCATTAACACTAGGATAAGTGCAGATAAGGCCATTCATAAGTACATACTCTGGTGTTAATGGTAAGAAAATAGTGCCCTGCAGCAGAACAAGTGACTCAGCATCAGTCCACGCTGCCAGTATTTGTGTTTAATGGATTGAAATGCATGAAACAGAACAAGAGAGGAACGAGAGCTGCCCTCCTATAAAACAGGGACAAAGATGGGGACCTGCACCAAACCCAGTGACACTTCGAGGCTCACAGCCCTGGTCTGGGTGGCAGCTGCCAGACCCCATCCATGGCAGAAGCACCACAGAGCCCTGCACAGCACTATGGTACTGACACTGCTCCGGCTGCGGCTGCAGTCCTGGGGGGAAGAGAGGAAGGAGGAACTTGCTCACCTACCGGTAAATGATGCCTTTGCTCTGCAGGAAGAAGAGGCCGATGGCTATTTCTGCTGCGTAGAATCTGCAATGAAAGGTTTGAAAGGGACACCCATCATTAAAGGAGATGAATCGAAATACCGCACCCGGTGAAAGGCGTGGGGCATACGTGACCAAAGGGTAAAGACAGCATGGCATAAACCCAGCAGACAAGCATCGCAGGAGGATGAAACAAGCTGGCGTCGCCGGCATCGGGCAGGGATGTGATCGGGTTGCTGTGGGCTAGCTGGGGCTGTCACTTTGTGTTACACAAACTCGCATCAAGCGAGAGCTGTTTGCTATTGTGAGCTGAGAGAAGTTATCCGTCATCTCGGGAGGCCGAGGAGGCAACACACAGGGCCACTGCCTGCTTTACAGAACACTCTGGCTCGGGGAGGGCTCTGCCAGGAGCCCAGAGCACCAGCGCACACCCACCAGGCTCTGCTCGCCCGCTGTGTCTGTGTTTAAGCAGATGAAGGCTTTCACAAACACATTCTGCTCTGTCCACGTTACTGGGAGCAGGAGCCAAAAGCCATCCGTTAACAGCCAGGCTGGCATCCCCAGTAGAGCAGCCAAAGACCCAACATCCTTCTTATGCTGTGGGAAGGGCACAGGGCAAACCAGAAGCGCGCTTCCAGTGTCTTCCAGGAGCCTCCATCCCTCCTGCCTGGTGTCTTTATGGAGGTCAATTATTTGTCTATCAACCACTGCAATGTATCCCAAAGATGGGCTGGAGGCACCAGCACCCTTGCACCAGGCAGAGTCATCCTGCACCTTCTGATTCCTGCTGGCCTCTCTTTCCCCACCTTTCTGTCAAGGCACCACAAATGCCTGTGGCTCGGGCTATCTGCCAGCTGTGTGACAAAGGTACATCAAATACCTACCCTAAGGTGCCAAATGAGGGCTACTGAACTTACACAGCATGTGGCTCTTTAAACCTCCCAACCTGCTGGATCTGGTACATTAAGTCCCCACCATTCACATATTCCATCACAAAATACAAGCGATCCTAGAGGAAAAACAAAAGCAAACAATTAGCAGCACAATTATCAGAGCAGGGAACCCGCAGGGGTCAGAGCTGACAGCTCCAGCCTGGAGTGCTCATGGCAATACAACTGTCATCATTGCCCTCCCCAAGGGGAGCAGGTGGAGCTGGTGCTCACACAGAGCCTGTCAGACACATGTGCCGATTGCTTTGCAATGCTCTGTTCTTTAGCTCTGCACCTCTGCAGAGCGATCCAATGGGGAAGGTGAGTGGAGGAATTCCTAAACCAGCTTTTTCACTTCCCATTGGCGAATCTGCTCTCATTCTTCACCGAGGCCGTCTGCAGGGTGCTGGAGCAGACACCTCCCCGTTGGTATTTGCCCAGGCTCTGCACAGCTTCAGCTAAGAGATGCACAGGGGTCAGGAGTTGCCATGAGCAGGCAGTGACCGGTGTGATTTGGCCAGGCTCCGGCAGGGATGCGTGGCATTCCCAGCTTGAGGTGGGGAGGTGGAAGGAGGCTGCACAAACCCCTCACCCCCCATCCCAGCCTGGTCTGAGGCTGCACTCAATGTTCACACATCATTAATGAAGCAACAGTTGAGAGTAGAACAACCAGGTCCATCAGTGCCTGTGACACGTGCAGGGAGATGCAGCCGCAGCCACAGCCACCAAGGAGCACACACTGACTTTGCCTCTGATGTGTAAACCGAGCTTTGCTTTCATTCATTCTCTCCAGGTGAAAGCATTCCTCCTCTTCCACAGCCACAGAGGTGCAGACCTGAGGAATTCCCAAACAAGCTTCTGAAAGGCTGTGTTTTGTTCTGCACCATGCTTGGAGCCTGCACCCTGCACTGCCCTAGAGCTGTGGTGAGCTGCTGGGGGTGTGGAAAAGTCAGCACTGCTCCTGCCTCCATTGGAAGTGCTGGATGTAAGCCCAGTCCTCGAAACATGGCTGGGAATTCTAGAAACTGTGGGTGATGATCAGTGCTGAGAGCAGCAAGGCAAGAAGCAAGAGCTGAGCATTCCCACCGAATCGGATTAATAGTCCAAAAGAAGCTGGATCTTCTCATGCTGCATCCCAAACAGAGCCCTGCAAGTCCTGGGTAAGTCCGAGCTCCACTCACCAATGCCTTTCCCTGGGGAACTGTGCCCTTGGAACACCACCTCCCTCTGATGGCTCACAGCTCTTTTTAATAATGGGAATTGCCTGTGAGGAAAATCCTGCAAGACTGCCTAAAGCATGAAATTAAACCGCTGTGGGATGCTCCTCTGGGAAGGAGAAGCAGCAGCTCTGGACCATCATCCGAGTGGGTCCTCCCTGCCAGCAGGCACCTGCTGTCATAAAGATCTTAAAGCTCCTCCAGCTCTACCCGTGCCATGGGCAGGGACCCCTTCCACTGGAGCAGCTTGCTCCAAGCCCCTGTGTCCAACCTGGCCTTGAGCACTGCCAGGGATGGGGCAGCCACAGCTTCTCTGGGCACCCTCACAGTAACTCATTATATTTCCCGTTCCTCTTCTCCCCCTTAAACAAACCTTTCCCTGTTTTTCAGACAACAAGGATGAGCAGCCCAGAAGATATGCAAATGTGATCATTAGCACAATAAGGGCTATGGAATAACTTGGGTAATCAGCTCCTCCACCCATCACAGCCCCAATGCACAGCCCTGTCAGCAGGGCAGCCTCAAAGGTAATGAGACTGTGCCAGAGGGGCAATCAGGCTGTGTAAAACATGTGGCACTGGTGGGAGAGGAGAGATTTTGGCTTATGAGATGAGTGGGAATTTGGGAGCAGCCTCTGCCAAGGTGTGGATCCAGCACAGCAGCAAGGCATGGGGCAAAGTCACCTTCAGCAGCCAGTGCCACGCTTGTCCCCCTGTGACAGCAACTGGAAAGTGAAGCAATGCTGCGCTTGTTGCAGCTGCTTCCTAAATATATCGATCGGCTTCAAGTAGGAAGAATATTAAAGAGAAGGTCTCTTGAAACAGGCAGCTGAGCTCTAAAAGCAGGATTCGAGCTTTCCTCATTTGGGTGGAGAAGAGAGTGCTGGTGCTTCAGAGAGAAGAGCTGTCATGAATAAAGCAGCCAGATGGCTGGCGAGCCGACGGGCTGGAGGGAGGAGGGACATGGAAAGCTCTTGTCTACAGTAAAAAAGAATGGGATCTGTCCAGGTCTGGAGCATCTGAACTCACCGAGCAACAGCAGGTTACAGATACGTAAATACCCCTTGCATGAGCCAAGAGCAACTCCCAGGGCTCCTTCCAACACCCTCCTCCTAACCACCCACCCTTTGGTCCAGCTCCTGCCTGTGCCCATGCTGGGAACCAGAGTCAGAGCATCACCGCTGCTGCTGTGCTCTTCACTGCTGAGCCCAAGGGACACCCCCAGGAGCTTTCTGGGGCAGAGCACTGCAGGACCCCTCAGCCAGGCCAGCACGGGGCTCCTCTGGTGCATCAGCTCTCTCACTGCTCATCTTCCCTTCTTTCAAATGCAGATTTGGGGCTTTTCTGTCTCCCACCAGTCACTGACAGCCCCGATGAGAACCGTGCTCTGCGCTGTGCTCCCAGAAATCAAAGAGCTTTGTGCCAGCACTCGATAATACACCCTGCTATACATTTTGATTACATTACAAATACGATTACTATTAAGCTACTATAGGTCTGCCAGGAATAATCCTGTGCTGACTCACTTGAGATGCCAGAGATGCTGTGTGAAATAGCTTCTCCTGCCACAGTCTGATTGCTGTGCTGCAAAGCCGGTCCATGGGCTTTAAATACACTGCATGTGCTCCGTAAATGAAATTCCTGGGATAATATTAAAATGTAATCCTCCTGGAAAGCATTGTCATGGCGCTAAAGGACCGTGCAGAGTCCCTCTCTCTTCCCACTGACATGTACGGGGACATTTTCATTCACAGGTCACTCATGGCCGGACAGAGATTGCTTTAAAGGTCCCCTGTCCCCTTCCTGCTGCCCCTTTCTGCTTCTGGTTTGTACAAACTCAATCACACGCCTGTTTCAAAGTGAATTTCCTGTGGTTTGTATTAGGTTCCACTCTCTGCTCGGGTTTTCTGATCACCAGAATGAATCCAAAGGAAAAGCACAGCACTTTGCTATCGGATCACAACAGATGTGGGATGACGGCCACTTGTGGGGCTGGGGAATCACATCCAACACCACCAACAGCTCCTGATGAAACAGCCTCAGGGTGCAGGTACTGTATGTTACAGCCTCCAGTTTAACACAGGGACATAAAATCCCAGCCTGGTTTGGATTGGAAGGGACCTTAAAGCCCATCCAGTTCCAACCCCTGCCATGGACAGGGACCCCTTCCACTGGAGCAGCTTGCTCCAAGCCCCTGTGTCCAACCTGGCCTCGAACACTGCCAGGGATGGGACATGTTGTTCATGGAGATACATTTGCAAGGAAATTGGACAAGTTGTGAGGTTGCCAAGGCAGAAATTACACTGCTGCTTTGGCAAGTGCAGTGATGTGCATCAGGAAGGAAACATGAATGAAAGCAAAGGTAAGTTGTCAAGAAGCAAAGATACATGACCAGGGCAGAAGTGTCTATAGCTCCATCTCCACAGCTCCTGGGTGCCCTGCAGCCATCCAGAGAGGCACTGGTCTGGGTAACCGGTGACATCGGGTCTCTAAGAGGGTTTGTGCCCATAGGCTCACCAGTTACTAAAACCCATTGTGCAAAGGGCTCAGCATTCAGGGTGCAGCAGGGTTGCAGCAGTGGCACCAGCACTTACCATGGTCTGAAAGCAGGAGTGGAGCTGGGTCAGGAATGGAGGCTTCCCAGAGAGAGCCAGGACTCGCTTTTCAACCATGGTGCACTCTACATCATCGTCCTGGATTACAACATCCTTCTTCAAGATCTTAACAGCATAGAGCTCATCCGTGCCCTTCCTCTCTGCCAGCATCACCTGCATGAGGAGAGGATACGCAGTGGGTAAAGGAAAACATGGATCTGCAACACCTCCAGCTTGCCATGGCCAGCAGTTAGAAATAACACCTTGCTGTTTACCCTGCAGCTCCCATTCTAACCCCAAAGGAATGCAGAAGGCTACCAGTGGTATTTCCAGAAGCATTTAGGAACCCCAAGTCTAACAAATAACGCTTCTACATCCTCGCTCCATCATCACCTCAAGGAACACAGAAAAGGGTTTGCTCACGGCTGAGCCACTGATCACCTCTTGTCACCTTCCGCCCCTGAGTCGTGCCTCAGTTCAGCACCCTCAAGGTGCAAGCAGCATCGGGGCAGGGTGTCAGGAGCTCGAACACAGACTCCATCCCATTATGAAGTGGTAAAAGGTGCAAATTGGAAAGAGTCAGTTTATAGCCAAGAGTAAGAAAACCCAGTAAGATTTTTTCTGCCTCACACCTCCCTCTGCAATACACACAGTGATCAAAGCGCAGCTACGTGCTGGTCCATCACCCAGGCAAAGCCCCCCTCATCCAGCAGAATCCAACCTTCCATTTTAAACCAGTTTCACCCATTTGAGGGTTAATTTATCACAATAAATAGGATGCACTGCTTCTGCTGGTGCAATTTGCCCTGTTAATCCCATCAGCCCCAGTGAGGATCCTCAGACCACGCTCCATCAATGTAAGCTGCTCCTCAGGCTGCTGCAAAACAGACTCTGACCTTGCTTGCATCTCTCCTCCCCGCACTCTCTCATCACATTAGATTCGAGTGCTCAGTGGAAGTGAATTGCTTTCCATTCAACAAAGTCTGCTGAAAGCCTCCAGTCACAGCAGCAACACGAGTCTGGGTGCTTTGAAAATAAACCATGAGAAGCCAGCATCACTGGGGTGGAACTGAAAGGCATTCCAGGCTGGAGCAGACGGGCAGAGGAAACGTGAGCGGGTCTCACAGATGACTTCTGAGACACTAAGGATGGTGGAATTCACCCTCTTGTCAGCCCAAAGCAGACACGGGGCTGGAGCCCTGTTCTCCCTGCTGTAACGTGCCCGGATTCCCCATGGAGCACTGAGCATCCCTTTGGAGCTGGACCTGGGGCAGAGCCGGTCCCAAGGCAGAGCAGCCCAACTTGGGGCTTGGGGTTCAGGCAGTGCTGTGCCAGCCCTGGAGCAGTGAGGCAGGAGGAGAAAGCCTGGCAACAAGGCAGGGAACACAGCTCAGGGACTGGGGACAAGGCAGGGAACACAGCTCAGGGACTGGGGACAAGGCAGGGAACACAGCTCAGGGACTGGGGACAAGGCAGGGAACACAGCTCAGGGACTGGGGACAAGGCAGGGAACACAGCTCAGGGACTGGGGACAAGGCAGGGAACACAGCTCAGGGACTGGGGACAAGGCAGGGAACACAGCTCAGGGACTGGGGACAAGGCAGGGGACACAGCTCAGGGACTGGGGACAAGGCAGGGGACACAGCTCAGGGACTGGGGACAAGGCAGGGAACACAGCTCAGGGACTGGGGACAAGGCAGGGAACACAGCTCAGGGACTGGGGACAAGGCAGGGAACACAGCTCAGGGACTGGGGACAAGGCAGGGGACACAGCTCAGGGACTGGGGACAAGGCAGGGGTAGGGACTGGGGACAAGGCAGGGAACACAGCTCAGGGACTGGGGACAAGGCAGGGGACACAGCTCAGGGACTGGGGACAAGGCAGGGGACACAGCTCAGGGACTGGGGACAAGGCAGGGGACACAGCCCAAGGTGTTCAACGCTCACCCCCTTGTCAGAGTGGAGATAAGAGCACGCTGGGGAAGAGCCCTGCTGGGAACACGCGGCTCTGGCTTGCTCAGGCACTTGGCTCCTCTGGGCCTGGCTGTCCTTGCCTCGCTGCTGCTCAGGATTAGCTGGGAAAGGCACTGAGGCTCCGCGGCGCCAAGTGCCTTGGAGAAGCCTCTGCCATTCCCATCTCCATCAGCAGGGCTGGGACTGCAGCCGCCACACACCGTGCTCATCCCTTGGCAGGGCTGAGCAGCACAATGACAGCTTCAGCGGCTTCAGGAGCTCATTTATTCACTCCCTGATGGAGGAAAGTCGAGAACCGGAGCCCGGAACAGCTCAAAGTGCTGCTGCGATGCAGCCCAGTAAGGCACTGCCACTGGGACCATATTAGTGCTTCATCCTTGCCACTGACAGCTCCCTGAGGGGTGTTGCAACAGCCCTTTGCACCCAATGACGAGCTCAGAGCACCCAGCAGCATGGGCAGCCCGGTGCCCTGCCTGCAGCCAGGGCAGCAGACACAGGAGCTCCCCTGCACCTCTGCCCTCATGCACAAACCAAACAACCCCTTTCAGTCCATCACCTCCAGTTATCTTCACCATTTGTACACGAGTTGATATTCACAAGTCGCCGTGGGCAGGTGCTAAAAGCCAGGGCTGGTTTTGAAGTGATAAAAGCAGATGGGCTTTGGCCATTCAAAGGTGGTGGAAAAAGAGAAGCGACCGCTCCAGGAATGCAGTTTATGGGAAAACTAGGAGTAAGTGCACTTTATGCAACATTAACTATATACAGACCTACCTTGCTATCACAACCCTTCCAGAGTAACTAAACCAGGGAATCCCTGAGCTCAGGCTATGCTTTATTGCCCCAGAGGGACCACCAAGACATCCATGTGTGATCCCCACTGCACCAGGGACGTGGCTACCACCACCACCGCACACTTGGGCTCTGCAGCACAGCGAGAGCCAGAGGTTGGCTGGTGCACCACAATAAATGCAAACCACTGCTCCAGGGTGTACATGGACCATAAATGTTTCCCACAGCAGCTTCCCAATGACGTGGCGATCCCGAACCACAGCTGAGCCATCCAGCCTGAGATGTGATGGAAGATGTGAAAGGAAGAGGACTCTGCAGCTGCCTGCACCCAGCTGCACCCACAGCGAGGAGGCCCAGAGGGGAGCGGGTGTCTGGGTGCAGCAGAGGATGCTGCTACCCTCACGTCATCTCTCACATCTGGGCTGGCAGAGCGAGTGGCTCCAGATGCTGTCGGGGTGTTGTGAGAACTGGCAATCTGCACACACAGAGGGGACTGCAGGCTCTGGGCTGCAGCCAACAGAGAAGCTACCTCCTGCACCCAGCGTGACAGGCACGAAGGGCAGGCTTGGCCTCTTCTCCGAGCAGAAGATGGGGCTCTTCACAGCCCATGGGCTTGTGTGACCGTTTTGGGCACTGCTCCACCCCTGCCTGTGGCAGCTCGGTGGTGCAGGGAACCACAGCTCATCCCGCTGTGTGGAGGAGCCTGCTCTGTGCTTGTGTATGCCAGGGGCTGGCTCCTGCACGCTGGCATCACAGCTCCTGTGTGACTGCAGCGTGGGGACAGGTAAGGACACAGGAGGAGGACAGCCACCGATGAGCCAGCTTCATAAGGACAAAGGAAAAGATTGGGACCCCCTCACTGTAGATACAGGAAGATTCACACAAGTGGATGCCCTCAGCACACTTTGGAAATGCCACGAAAATCATGGGTGAAGGAGGGAGAGGGAACCTAAACCTCACCACGTGCCCAAGGACAGGACACAGCTCTGCAAGTGATAGAGCAAGACCAGCCCTTCTGCCACATCTCACACCAAGAGAGGGGAGAAAAGCATTTTACAGCTCAAAGATTATCAACAGGACATGGAAATTGTCTCCCATTGCAATGTAATCCATAGCTGCACAGGCAAAAGAATCAGCCCTGCTCAGAAATACACCATAAAACCCCCGGGAAAGATTGACAGCTTGATAGCATGACAGATTGATTAGCTGCAAAAATATGAGCAAGGCACATAATTTAACTTTCCTCTATTTATATTACAGCTAAGCAAACCAAGGGTGGGCTGTGCCAAGCGCTGCCTTCTCCAGTCGGGAACATCTCCCATCCCTGTGCCAGCCCAGTGCCGGAGGACTGCCACCAGTCACGGCTCCTGGGGGCACTGATGGACCCCAGCAGGGACCAGGCCAAAGCCACCTAAACTCAGCAAGGAGCCCCCAGGGTCACCCCGTGCCCTAAGGCTGAACACGCTGAGCCAGGACCATGCACATCCCAGCCCCTGCCCCTGAGCTCCTTTCCAAGCAAATTCCAAAGCAGTTGTCCAGCCCCTGAACCTTGATGTTCAAGGCCAGGTTGGACACAGGGGCTTGGAGCAAGCTGCTCCAGTGGAAGGGGTCCCTGCCCGTGGCAGGGGTTGGAGATGGAGGAGCTTTAAGGCCCCGTCCAACCCAAATCAGTCTGTGACTATGATTTATTCCTGTACTACAGAGTCCTTGTTTGGGAATGCTCCAGCACAGTAACTGGAGATATTCTGAGCACAGAACAAGCAAGTCTATTAAACTTCACCAAGGCCATCACATGGGTACTCCTGACCCTGGACACCACAGCAGTGGTGGAGGGAGACAAATACCGGTCAGTAAACCCGGGTGGTGATGCCCAGGGGTGAACAAGCTGATGCCTGAGGCAGAGTCCCTCATGCTCAGAGAGAGCCAGGCAGCAGGGCCTGCAGGAGGGATGCTGCAGCACGCGGCCAGCACAGGAGCAGGCAGTGCCAGCCCTGGAGGAGGACGGTGATGGCATGGACATCACCCAGGGTACTGAGGGCTGGGAACCGGCAGGATCCAACACTGGGGAGCTGGGCTCCTCTCCCACAACATGGCACGGATGAGGGCACCTTCCAACACATCCAGCACCTCTGTGAATGCACAGCATGCAGGTAGCAAAGTGTCCTCTGCACAGGGCCCTGTGGGCACCACTGACCATGCCACCTCAGCATCCCCATGCTGGAGCCAGGCAGTGGGACACCCGGAGGGGATCCGCAGGGAATGCTGCCCAGCAAGGCGCAGGCACACGTGAGGGTGAGGCTGCATCAAGCCATAGAAACCAACGTGCTGTTTTAATTAGCAGGAATTAGCATATTTATAACATTCTGTTCCAGGGAACAGTTGCTGTCACACATCCCCTTATATAAGCCACGATGCCGACGGAAGCGCTTGCTAATGTTTCTCAAATTGAAAGGGGGGGGAACTACAACTGCAGAGTTTCCAGATGCCAGGCAGAGATTTAAAAGGGATTAGGTGTTGGGAGGGGGAGAAAAGGGGGCAAAAGCAATGTGGAAACTGGGATGTGAACACATTCCTGAGGGAGAACAGCACAGGCACAACGCACGCAGCTTTCCTGCTCCTCGTGCTAACACACAGCGAAGGTGTAAACCACAGAGTAACAGCAGCCTCCTCCCTGGCAGCATCGCTGGTGGATGCTCCACGTGCTGGGGACCATCAGGAGCTCCCCACCCTCCTCCTGTCACAGCTGGTTCAGAGCAGGGAGCAGGAACCAGCTCGGAAAGGCGGCTTCACCCTCATGTTCAGGAGAGGATGGGTGAGCATCACTCCCCTGGCATCCCCTCCCTGCCCGCCTGAAGGCAGAGCAACATTCTCTGCAATTAAGGCAATTCCCTCGTTGGAGCAGTGTTGGGCCATCATCCATCAAGCAGCAAACACAGTGCTGGTGCACAGCAGACGCAGCCCCCTTCCTCCGGAGCCCCAGCAGCCACTTGAGCGCTGGCATTCCTAATGGAAACCATGACAAAGTTGGCCAGACCCCAAGGAAAAGGCAGGCTCCGAGTCCCGTAATTACTCTAAGAATGAAATTCTGGTACCACTCACAACCCGTCTGGAAAGTTAATTAAAATGTTCATGTATATTTGCAATTATTGGAGGCAAAAACGGCCGCATCAAAGAGGACTTTAAAGGCACAGCACAGGCGTTGCTTCCCACAGAGAACCCCTGAGTTTTGTGGTGGTCTCCTCAGGCATCTCAGCTCCCCATCACTGTGACATGGCAGCACACAGCCCATAAGGGAGCCAACAAACTGGGTTCCCATCACCTTAACACCAGACCTCCCAGTCAGAGCAAGGACAGATCACACTGGGGCATCCCCATGGCTGCAGCACGTGTTCAATATGGAAAGCATAAAGGTGAATGTCGGGTCCCACCTTCCCAAAGCTCCCTTTGCCCAGCACCATCAGGAAGTTGAAATCCGACAGTTTCATGCGATCCCTGCTCCCGTTGTTGTCGAATTTGGAGATGGCATTTCTTGTCTTCTCATCTGCAGCCTTGGACCCTGTTCCAATCTTGGCTCTCTGCAAAGATGGAGATGGGATGGGGAAAGAAGGAATTACTGAAAACTGGGGAGAGAAGTCATTATAAACCAGTGAGTGCTCCTGAAATCCCATGTTCATCAGCTCTTTTCCAGCACCCCTGAGCTACAGGAACCTTTCCTACAAGAGACCTGGTCTATTGGGAGGTGTCCCTGCCCATGGCACAGGGGTGAAACTGGATGAGCTTGAGGTGCCTTCTAACCCAAACCATTCTAAGTGCAACAGGGACAGAGCCAAGAAGGGCATTGGAGGAGTCCCCAACCCCAACACTTTGCCCTGGTTATTGGGGTGGTTCCCAGTTAAATCTATGCAAAACGATCTGGGAACCAAATCTGCCCATTACCTGATCACCCCCACTGCAGCCTGTGCATCCTGGAGCTGCCCCATAATGTGCTCTAGGTGATCCAAAGTGCAGAACAGAGGCTTAAATAAGCTTTTTTCTTTCCCCCTCAAAACCAGCTTCTGTCTCTCACCCCACTAGAAAAGGGCAGATGAATATAACTATATTAAGGTAAAACACAGGACTTTTTATGCAGCTCCACCTCCGTTACTCTCTGATACTGATGAGAACTGCTCTCCTGTGCCGGCTGAGGCTGAACGTGGGAAGCTACAAACGCATTTGGAACGAAGCAGAATAGAAAGCACAGCTCCTGCTCCCCCAGCATCCGCTGCATCACAACTGCCTATTAAGGAACCTCACAAAGCCCCCCCAGGTTTAAACACTGAATCTCATCAGTGGCCCGGTGCCTCCTCACTGGGCTGGGGGCTCTCCTTTGCTGAGCCACCGTTTGTAAAAGCTATCTCCCAATTTCAATGTTTAGAAATAGGCGATGGGATGAGGCTTGTGCCGAGCTCAGTCTAGCATGAAATTCCATTAACCCGATTCCAGCAGTTCAATTTGGCTGCTGCTCGCAGCTCCTCCAGATAGGAGCCTCACAAGTAATCTCCAAGCCTTTGCTGCTGCTAATTGGTTCTTGCAGGGTTCTCCATGCTCTGCTCAAGGTCACCTGCAGCACCTACAAGCATCCCAAAACCTCCAGCACTGAAAACTAAAGGAATAGTCCCTGGGAATGGCCAACATCAGCTCTGCACCAGGGGGGAGGCAGAAACCTCCCAACAGCCGCTGGTAGCTGCTGCTGTGTGCGCAGAGCTGCCCATGGGATGTGATGGCTTTCCAATGGGAAAGGGCCATGCACTGACAAGGAAACTGTCACCTCTCCCAGTGTACAAGCAGTTTTCCTCACTGTAATCCTTAGGCTTCTGCAACGTCCCCACAAGAAGGGGATGCTGAATCAGAGCATTCCACTTCAGATCAGCTCAGGTGACACAGAGCAGCTCTGGCATCAACCAAAGGCAATGAGGATCCAACTCTGGGACACCCGACAGCAGCAGCCTCTGTGTCTCCCCTAGCTGTGTGACTGCCTTCAGCAGCCCTCACCCTGTTGTATTTCAAAGCCATCTTCAAAGGGAAGGTGCTTAGCAGCAGTTATATTCCATGACAGCTTCCTGAATACTCTATCACAGCTGAAAAACAATCTCATCAGATCAGCCCTGACACCAAATTAACCTTTGTGAGAGCAAGCTGCAATAAAATACAAGGGCACTATCATGTTTCTGTTAAATGACACCCAAAAGAACAGCTCTGTTCCAGAGGAGCCCATATTCCTCCACACATCCGCAGCCCAGCAGCACTGGGCTTGGCCGTGGGACCCCATGGAGCATGGACCAAAGCAGAGCAAGGCTTTCAGCCCTGTGCAGAGGGGAAAAGAGCAACACAAAGATGGAAGAGGATTCCCATTCACTTCATCCCAGCTTCAGGCACATCATTCCCACCACCCAAGGGTGAGAGTGACCTCGGGTCCCTCCTGCTGCCTGCAGCTGCTCCCCAGCCTGTGTCTGAAGAGGGGCTGCTGCAACCACCCTTGGCCTCGCACTCGACCTGTGGTCACTCACACAGGGTGTCCCCAGGAGACAAGGTGAGGACACAGACACGGAGCAGCATCCCTGACACAACGGGCTCAGCAGGCAGCCTGGCCAGGAGGGGAAAGGGCTTTCCAGGAAAGAGCCCACAGTGAGAGTCAGGAAGATCATCACCGCAACTGAAGTGTCCTGCTTTGGCTATCGAGTGTCCCTAATGTCTCTAAGTGAGTACGAAAGACCTTTAACCTGTATTTAATAGGCTCACACCATCTCAAGACCTCTTTAAGGTTTGAATTGCACCAAATACTGCTTACATACTGTGTTAAAAGCACACCTGACCTTCACTGCCTGGCTCCATTTGTCAGTGTGAATTTACTACACCTGAGTCTGTGCTATAGCAGCGGCTGAGGCTCCCATCCATCAACTTGTCCCAGCAAGCTGCTGATAAAGATGGAGCAGAACTGGCAGCTTCCTGCAGTGCTTTTGTGGTGTGAAGCCCGGGATGTGCAGGGTCTGGGTCACCACAGGGATCACTGGTGCCATGTGCCACCTCACCCAGCCACTGCCCTCCTCAAAACCCATCCTGGCCCCATGGCACCCGGCTGGGCACAGGGGCTGCCGTGATGGCTAAAGGCTCAGAGAGGTTTCCTTCCTGAGATCAGATCCAAATCCAATGCTATTAATATCTTAATTCACCTCAGTTGATGATATTAATTCATAATCAGCAGCATGACATTAAAAACAGATGAACAAATGCTGTTATATGGCACCTCAGAGGGTACAACTGCTGTACCACGTGCTGGCATCAGGAGCACGGTTACATCAGGTCACTCTGGGCCATTCACCATCCTCATCCCTCTTCAACTGGATTTAAGTGTTGGAAACACGTTAACTGATGATAATGTGCAACCTGTTTGAGCTGTACTTCTTTTGGCCACCACAAATGATGAATTGCGCAGCCCTAACAGAAAGACATTGAAACAACTCACGTGAAAGGGGAGTCTTTGCTGTGCTGTGAGGAAAAATGATCTAGAAATGGTGTCAGACCCCTTCCTGCTCACAGGTATCAGAGGCAGAGACGAAGCACACCCCTGGCAGAGCACGAGGCATTACACAGAGCTGCGCTGCCCAGTAAGCTGTTGTATTTTCAACCTGATGTAAATGCTAAAGCATCGTTTGCATCGCTCTCATCTCCTCACCCCCCAGAAGTGACTGTTCCTTTCCGAGGTGGCAGGGAAAGTCCCTTGCGAAGGGCATGGCAGGAGGCAGCACAGAAACCCCCAGATACACAGGAGAAACCAATTCACCTCAAACTTCTGCCTCAGCTCCTCGTTTCCTTCTTCTCCCTCCGGAGGCACCGGGACATTGAAATACTCGCCCTCCTCCTGGCTCAGCAGCTTAAACCTGGAGGGACACGGGGAGACGCCAAGGTCAGGATGGGAGGCAGGGGAAAGGTCAAGCAGCAGCTATCAGAAACCATGGAAGTGTTGCTCAGATCTGAGGTGTCTCACACAGCCCAGGGCAAAGCCCTGGCTCCATCCTGAACATGGGAATCAGCTGGGTGCTATCCAGAGACTGCACTGAAGAGACAAAGGGGATAACAGAGGGGCAGGCTCTTCCTTTAAGCTTGTCTTCCCCATTAACTGCAGTTGTTTAGGCATGAAATACACATCAGAGCTCCTTCACTCCAGCCAAACGCTGTGACTTAGATTTCCACTTACAGGAGTTCTAAAAGGCTGGGAAAACAACCAGGCTGTGGCAGCGCACCGACTCCAGCCGACACACGCACCCCTACAGGAGACTGGGAATCTGGGGGGAGTGACAGTTTTCTCCTGTTTTCCAGAGGAGAAGCCACATCTCCATCAGGGTCTGCTCTGTGACAACGGAGGCTCGCAGACAGCCCCACAACATCACAGCCAGACCCTGCCGCAGCCCTGTGATGGGCCAGGGCTCCCTGGGATCACCATGGAGGGAGCAGGATCCAGGGAGGACCCGGTGCTATGCAGGTGTCCAGCCCATCCACTATTCCTCCTCTCCGTTCCCTGCTTTAAATGAGATACATACCCCTTCCATGGTGGAAAAGGCAAGACAGAGTGAGGGGTGTTTGCTCAACTGGTGGAATGCAAATGAACAGCACAGGTTTTGGTTTCCAGAAGACGTAATATCTATTTCCAATTATTACATTTGACATGGAAAGGGAACAGAGCTCTCAAGCATCAGTGCCTGGGGAAAAAACCCAAGGAAATAAGCAGCATATGTCCTGCTGGGGGAGATAAAATGGAAATGAAGAGACCCATTCAGTGCGGTGTCGCAGCCCCACAAGGCTCACCCTCCATAGGGAACAAGGGTAATTACACACTGGAGCATTCCTCCTCCTGGTGAACAGTGCCCCTTGGCACAGGTTCTGCTAGTGTGAGTGCTGTGGAAGGGCTGTCCCTGCCACACATCACAGCCATGGTGCATTCCATTCACCAGCTCACAGCCGGGTGCTCCTGCCCAGTTCAGACACCAAGGAATTCAACCTGAAAATGCTGGCTTGGCAAATGCTTGGGAAGTGAGAGCCTGCGGGGACACCAGGCAGAGCCACCCATGGTTGCTCCTGCCCATGGGAGGGAAAACCCCACCTCCAGCAATGCTGGAGGGGCAGAAGGACACAGGGGGTGACACAAAGTGAGGCCATGCAGGGACACTCAGGCACCCAGCACCCGCAGGACACCCATATCCCTCCATAGGAGCCACAGAGACTGCTGGTCCTTGAACAGAAGGGTGCTGGTAAAGGACAATGGGCTGCCACATCTTCCATCAGGTACAAAACCCATCAGAGCTGCTTTTGCCCACTGTGTTTTTAAAGCAATCGCCACTCTTACCATCCATCGACTCCCGACTTCTGCAGCTCAGAAATCCCGAAGGACAAGGAGCCCATGAAATCATTCCTGCTGGTCAGATCCCAGTCCCAAATCTCCACAGACAACCGCCTGTCTTTGTCCGCCTCTTTCAGTTGGCTGGAAGAGAGCAAAGAGAAAGGGCTGGTTTAACTGCAGAAGCCATTGCTATACCACCATGCCCCTCCACACTCCATAAGAGCATGGATGCAAACGGAAAGGATGGTCCTCAGTGTCTGTTCAATGCTCTATTTAACTATTTAATTATCTATTTAATTATTGGGATATTTAATTTCCCAACCACATCCATTTCAAACGGAGGATGCCGAGTTCCTGCCCTCAAACCCCCCACTTTGATCAGGGGGCAGGGCAGAGGTTTGCCTGTTTCTGAGTCCCACTTACAGGACCAAAAGGAATTATTTCCCATTGAATCGGCTTAATGCCCTCTGAATAATTCAATCAGTGCAAACCCAATCCCATTAGTTCTTAGGGGGGAGAAGAAGGAGTTGAAAAGTTTGAACGTTTTTCTTCTACTCACAATTTAAATGTCTCGTTCCACTCAGGGTTCAGGGAGCACTTGATAGTTTTGGTCTTCTGTTTGCTTTCGTTTTTGGGGTCAGGGATTAGTTTAAGCTTCACGTAGGGATCTGACAAGCCATTAGGGTCCATAGGAACTAGGTTTTTAGCATCTCGTACTGGGGAAGAGAGAAAGGATTAAATTCAGTATCCAAAGTACAAAAATACCCAACAATTGACAACTTCCCTGTGCGCCAAGAGCAAGTGTGAAAATAGTGATTAAAACCGGAACCAAAGCTGAGCATGTGCAGACCCAGCCATTCCATGGGGAATGACGTGCAGTTACCAACGCAAAGCAAGCACAGCTCCAATGGATGAGGGAGGCTGAAGGAGCAGCTAAAGAGATCATTTTCCCTTTCTGATGGGATGATTTGTTGTTTGCTCTCGGGTTTAAACAGTTTAAAGCTGCTCTTGTACCTTGGTAAGCAGAATTACACTAATCTGCATCCTTCTTTTGGGAGCATCGGGATGATGCTTTCCATGGAGAGTGGAAATAGGAACAGAACAGGGTGAGGCTGGCACCCGGATGCACCAGGCCAGAGGCTGAGCACACAGCTCTCCCTCTGGATCCCCTTGGCCTCAGATGCCATGGTCCCAAGGGGACATCCAAGTGAGAAGGAGCAGAAGAGGGGAGAGCAAACCTGTGGGCAACCTCGACTGCTTGCAATTGGGTTGCAGCTTTGGGAACCTGACTACAGTCAGGCTGACCAAGCATCTCTCCCATGATTAAGTCAGTTTGTCTCCTGGGAGAAGGGTCTGGTCTTCCCTCCAAGCCCAATAAAGACACCAGAGATGGAAAGTCCAATGGGACGTGATGGAGCAGGGCTGTAACAGGGGAAAAGCTGCTCATTGGAAGCCCAGAGCAGGAACTCCCTCCCCTGCACTGCAGCCAGGACTCAGTGCTCCTATGGTGCCTTCTCCAGCCAACCCAAACCCCCTGGGTCTGTGCAGGCAGCACTGCTCCTGCCAAGCCCTGTGCTTACAGAGCCCCCAGCTCCTCCTCAGCACAGCGTCAGCTCCCCAGGCCAGTGCACACCTCGGGATCAGGCACATGGGCTGTGCTGGGAACAGGGAATATGGCACTGCCCAAACTCCCATTGGATCACCCCCAGCTCTGCTGCGAGGTTCACTGGGGACACAGCTTCACCCCCTAATCCAGCTGCGTGTGCAGTGCTGCAGGATGTTAGGGGATCCTTTCAGAGAGTCAGCAAGAGCAAACACAATTGCTCTGTTCCCAAATCACCAGTGAGGCGTTCCCAAGGCAAGGCTGGGAGCCAGAGAGGTTTGAAAAGCAAATGAATGCTCCGAAATCTGCAATCTGCTGCTGCCCTCCTGAAGCATCGCCCAATTTCCGGCTCTGGAAGAAAACTCATAGCCAAAGCTCCAGTTTGCATGTATAAACCAGCTCATTAATCAAACGGGACACCCTTGACAGCAGCTCGTGAAGCACAGAGAGGCCAGCCTGCTGGGAAATGCCTGCTGCCCAATTGCAGGCGCCTGGCAGCTCTATCGATTCCACAGCACTGGATATTCCGCAGACAGGTCTGAAGAGCCAGAGCCACCTCCTGCCCCTCCGGCAGAAGGGGAAGGAATGACTTCATCCCTGACAGCCCCACAGCAGTGATGTACAGCGACCTTGCAGCGCATCCATGGTCTCTGGGGCAGGTCGGGTCTCTGCTGGGAGATGGAGCATCAGCACCAGTGGTCCATGGGGTCAGGGATGCAGATGCAGCATCAGCACTTACGAACAGCTTTCTGAGCTCAAGTGTGAGAAGCAGAGGACATGTGGGGAGGCTCTGGCCGCTGGGGCAGTCTCCTCCTGTAAGGTGTTTAGGCAGCAGCCAGCTCATCTCAGCAGGGATGAACTGTGCCAGCACCTCAGCACCCACACAGGGAAGAGCTTCTGCCTAAGAGCTCAGCTCAGTCTCCCCTCTGGCAGGTTCAAGCCATTCCCCTTGGCCTGTCCCTACAGGCCCTTGTCCCAGGACCCTCTCCAGGTTTCCTGGAGCCCCTCTAGGCACTGGAGCTGCTCTAAGGTCTCCCCTTCAGGAGCCTTCTCTTCTTCAGGCTGAACCAGCCCAGCATTGTCAGCCTGTCTCTGCAGGACAATAAAACATCAGCCACCTGAGTGGCTTTCAAGCCAATTGCTTATTGCCAATGTGCTCTGTATTGCACAGGCTGCTCTCTGAGTTCGGGTCAGCTTTGCCCTGGGCCATCCATCTCTCCATGGGTAGAAACCCACAGCAGCACCAGGGCTGGTGAAGCAGCAGCCCCTGATGTATGTTACCTGTTCTGCACCAACCTCATCCATGTACTAACCTGCACAGCACCACCAGCCCAACTGTCACACGTTCCTCTGTCTGTAACCATTCCCCATGACACACAGTGAGACTTCAGTTCTGCAATATCCTAACAATCATTTGCATGTGCCATTTAATGAGTCTTCCCCAAAGCCTGGACATCAATCCCCACTCTGCACTTCAGAGGATGCACAGTGGTTACTCTGCGGCTCATTGTGGACTCTCAGTCAAACCCTTCTGCTCCAAGCTTTGTACCACATGAGCAGACAGGCTTCCGATCTGCTGGGGGAGATCTCCAAGTAATGGGTTTAATTTCCAAGGGCCCTGCCAAGGCTCTGCACTGATAGAGCCCAAATGCCTTCCCTCACCCCTTATCACAGAGGAGAAGAATACATATTTTCTCATCATTGTTACAAGCTTATATCTGAGCCTTTTTGATAGGGAAAAGGCAGTCTTTATAACCATGCTTTTGAATGATAAAACACAGAAGTGTATTAGTGAAAAACCCCATGGTAAGTCCTTCCAAGGCACTGCCTGACTCCTTTTATAACCTTCCTGGCTTGAAAATGAGTACAAAACCCTATTTTCAATGATCCTGGTCATCTGCAACATAGGGAGATGTTGGAGCACTGGGGGAATATCCCATCTCCACACCGAATGCGTGCAGCCCACTGCCATCATGTAGGACCACTCAGCCAGGGAAAACTGATGTCATTGAAGGTGTCCTTGCTCATTGCAGGGCGTTGGATAAGATGAGCTTTGAAGGTCTTTTCCAACCTAAACTATTCAATGATTCTACTCTGATTCTCAGAAGCCACTTACCCGTGGGGAATCAAACAAGACCATGTCCCCTCACAGAGAGGATGCAAAATCATCTCACTCCGAATCAGTGCTGCATGTTTCACCAGTGTAACGTCCTCCAGAGACAAATGAATAAGGCTTCAACATTTATCAGGCCATTGTTTGCTTCTTTAAGGAACAGAAAAAGTAATTCCTGACCCTCACAGTTAATCAGTTTATGCCCTGAAGCATGAGATTTGATTACCTCTGTTATTATCTCAGCATGCAGGCCTAAGGATTTCATTAATGGGAATAATTTTATCTATTCATTTAAAAAACCCCAATCGCTTCTGCCTGACCTTATGTAGCTCGCTGACTTTTCAAGTAGAAATCAACAATTAAGTGAAAGAGAAATAAAAGCCCCCAGAGGTGCAGCAGTAATACCTTGCCTCGGGAGGAGCGCGCTCCTCTCCAACCGCTCCCAGCATTTCTATGACAGTTAAATTTGATGGAAATTACTTTCATATCAGTCACATTCTGACAGTTTTGTGCATCATTAAGAAGTAGTAACATCATTATTAATAGTGATGAGTAAGAATATTACAATCCCATTTACAGCAGCTGGTCTTAAATCACTTTGGGTACCAAGCTGAAGAGAAGCTGCTCTGATTACAGTCAGGAGGAGGCATTGAAAAGCCTTGGACTTCCCTGGATCCAGGGGGGATTTGGGGTTGGGGCCATGCTGGCACATCCTCTGCACACTAGCAAGGATGCTCAGGGGGTGCTCTGTGAGGAAGAGCCTCTCCCTTATCCAGGGAGTGCAGCAATGGGTTGGGGACACCAATCCATTGCCAGGGATTGAGACTGCACCAGCTCCACCTTGTAGGGCAGGGCAGGTAGACCTGGTTGAGCGATATCTGAATAATTTCCTGTCCAATATGTGCAATAGCTTCCAAACAAATTATTCAGACAACATCTTTTAATTACTCAGGCAGCCGTAACTGCAGGAACAGGCTTGGGAAGGAAGAGACACTGATTTCAGACACCCACACCTCCAATGGAAAACACGGGGAGAAATAGCACTGGAAGCAGGAAGGAACACAGCCCTTTCCAGCAGGTTCTTCAGGCCATGGGCAGGAGCTCACAGTGCCTGTGAGAGCAGGGTAAGGCCCTTCCTCCAGCCCCAGCAGGAGCTGCACCCTGGAGAAGCGGGACTGGCAGCACCAGAGCTGCCAAATGCCACAGGTTCCCATGGGAAGGCAAGATGAGTATGCTGGATAAATAAAGACCAGAAAGTTCTTTGCTAAATATGCAGCGCCATATGGGGGTTCACTTTTATGTTCAAAAAAGAAAGCCTACAACAAAACCCACTCCTACCCCGCTCTCAAAGACAGCTTAAACCGGCTGCCAAATCCTTCACCTTCATCTCTGAGTAAGCAAGGCCACCACCACACAGTGAGGGCAGAGAGCTCCGCTTCCCACTGCCCACCACGGACAATACCCTTCTGAGAGCCCTGCTCACTGCAAGGGGAGGTCAGAGCTCAACACCCCATCCCTGCCCGACCACCTCACCACAGCCTCAGCCAGCAAAGCGCTGTGCCATGCCTGTGGCATCCCCTTTAACACCTCCTGGCCAGGACTTGGAGAGAGGATGCTCTTGGGTTGTCCTGTGGCTCTCATCTTCCTCCCTCCAGTGGCACACACCAGCTCCAGCCGGGAGCAGCCACATTCCAGCGAGCACCCGGCGCTGGGATTAACACCCTCATGTGTTAAAACACTGAATTAATGCTCTGCAGGAGCATCTATTTGCACATGTTTCTGCAATAGAAAAGGCTCAGGACTCATGGCTGCCTCTTCCTGGGCTGGTGATTATTAATTAACACACTTCCAGCTCGTTTATCTAATCACAGAGTAACTGGTTTCGGTTTTGGTCAATGTTGTACTTCATCAGCTTGGTAAATAGCGATGCTCCGGTCCCGGCAGCCTCTGCTGTAACCACGAGATGGAGCCTCATTCCACAGCTCCCAGTGGGTCTTGGC